GGTGGGAAGTATACACTTAACAGGCCTGATAATGAGGAGACAAGAGTCAGGTAGGGCAAGAAGAGATGAGGGCAGAGAGAAGACGGATAAGCTACAAGGACCACACAGGCCACAAAAAAAACCTTCATATTTGCCACAAAATGTGCACACCTATATTAGAGGCAGGACTCTGGACCCATAAGTACAGGTCCTGCCTGTTTCAATAGGGTTACAGGCTGCTGGACAGAAAACAGACCCAGGCCAAATGGCAGAGGGGGTGAGTGGCAAAGAGACTGCGTGCCCTGAAAAATGGGAATGGCAAGGACAATTCTTCTCCCTTGGACTCATGCTGACAACTAAATGAGCTATGTTCTTTCATCAGTTCTGAGATACATATTTTTCACATCTTATGTGTGAAATTGAAATGTGTCTAGCAGCAAGCATGATTTACAACAGCTTTTAGCAGTCGTGGTAGTCCACACCGCAGACGCTGTAAACATGGCCTCAATGCTCATGTCATCACTTCAGTTCTCTAACAGGCATTTTTGGTATGTGCATGTACTTTGATAAGCATTCCAAAATGCCTTTGAAATACTCTGCTTGAGGGGTGGTAATGTAGCTCAATGGCAGAATGTTTGTTCACTCCCCAGCAGCACCAAAACCCATTTTTGTAAAAGAAGAATCATACACAGTATTGGGTCTTAGTATGATATTTTCAAACAAAGTTGGGGTTTTTTATGGTTAATCTGAAGGAAAGTCATAAAAACTATTTTAAATAAACGTCTGTTTATTTAAACGAATGGTTATTGTGCACACCATAGTCAAAGACTGAACTGTGGGGCATAAATACAACAGAAGCACACTTTCACCTCTGAGGAAGGCCCACGGTGTGATCTTCCATCAGTGCAGTAGACAGAGCTGAGGACACTCTGAGAGTGAGCCAGGAGGCCACTGGCCCGTGAACAAAAGGGTAGACTGCCACAACTCGAACGGTTCAGCTGAAAGTGGGACTCCCAAGCCCTCAGAAAATCATGTCAGAATGGCCAGGTGATGAGGCCAAGAAACACTTTTCCAGAGGCCCAGAGAATGCCAGGACCTAAGCTAGCAGACTAGATGCGACAGCTTGGGAGAACTTTCTGGAGATGGAGTTGGTCACCATGAGTGCACCTGAAGGCGCAGACAGCGACCTGGGTGAGAGGCCAGGGATGTGATTTCCTTCGTCAGACTCAAGCAGAGGAGCTGCATTCAAACAGGAGCACACTTTAGGAAGATCACCAAATTTGTTCTCTGTTTTGTTTTTATATATGCCTGAGAACAGTCCAATGAAACAAACATGTTGTATTTAAAAAATAAAGGGGGTGGGGTACTGTGAACTATGGAGTAGTAGGTGGCTTCTGGATCACATGGGAGAGAACATGACCACTTGTTAAAGGATCTTTTCTGAGTGAGAAAACAAGGCTGTCCAAATTGACCAGAGCAGCTGAAAATGGGTAGTCATTCACTAAGGCTGGGTACAGCAGGGTGGGCAGTCCAAGACCCAGAGCAACTCTACACTGTTTCCTGCTTTTGTATATCTGGGTGTTAAGAACAGTGTTTGTTGTTGTTGTTGTTTTTAGTGTTTTCAATTATATTTGTAAAAACAAACACAGAAGATGAAAAGGTGGCAGAAACTATGTGTGGTACTCCAAACCTAAAATACTTACTATCTCATTACACTGTCTGGCTACCTCTGCTCACAGAAAACAGGTTATGGTGAGGAAGAGCAGGAGCTGGTGTTGAGCCATGGAATGTGGGGTATCTAAGGGTCAGCCATCTAGACATCCACAAGCAGACATGCAGCGGGCAGTTAAGAAGGACTGGGGCTTGGTTGGTAGAGTAGGACATTTCTGCATGGAATGCCTAAACGTAAAGAGCCTTCCAAACTTGCAGGAAGAAGACCGGTACACATGAAGCCCAGTGGCCTTACTGATGCATGAAAAGGACTCTGCAACAGAGTAAAACTAGGACCCAGATCAACGATATGGAAACAGAGAAATCACCCATTCTAGTCACGCTGCAAGGAACAGGCAGACAACACTCAAAGCAAGACTCTCAGCTCTACCTACTCTGTGTAGTTTCTCAAGGAAAGAACTTAATTCTTCCTCATCAGATAATACGCTGAAGACCAAAGAAATGGTCACTACAGACTTTGAAGCAGTGTTTCCTGCTAGATATGAAGTCCCTATAGGGTTAAACACTGACAGCTTCATCAGGGCACTCAGCACACCAGCAAAAGAACACAGGTACTGGCCAGGTCAGAACTCACTACACTCTGGTCAAATGCTCATGGGATGAGCCAGGGATGGAAGGGAGGACACTTTCGTGACTAACATTCCATAAACAATGGGGTGATAATCCAATGAAAGACCCCAGAATTCTCTTACAAAACCAAAATAGAATGGAATAGTATGTGGTAAAATTGTATTATTTAAAACAGTATCTTTTTAAGCAATGACCTAAAAGAAAACTCATCAAACACAAACCAAAATCTCAAAATGAAACACAGCATCTTAGAGCATTCTGGCCCAGCCAAGGTAGGTGGAAAGGATTGGTTGCTCTATAAATGCGCTGAGTCAGTAGACAGCCGTGTGAAAATGAAGATTCCTAACATGCTGCATGCACCAAAACAAGTTTTAAGAAACTGAAATTTCATAAGTGTTATGAAATCATAAATAAAATTTAAGGCAAAAGAATTTGTTTTGAAACAAGAGAGGTTTCTTTTATCATAAAAAACTCACAGAGGGTAAAGACATAAAGGAAAATATTGATAAATTTAAATGAGCAACGCTCTTTAACTTCTCTCTATAAAAAGAGATTGTAAGACATAAAAGCAAATGACAACCTAGGGGAATATTTATAGAGTCCTGCAAAGCACTGAGGTCCACAGGGCTCTATGAAACCAAAGAGATACAACAGAACCAGTACAAAAATCGGTAAGGGACATAAATTCTTTTCGAAGTCTCTGCCTTACACATGGAGAAATTCAAAGCTTTTTAAATAAAATAAAAAGGGAAGTAAGAGCATATAGTTTGAAAAGAGCTAGAGTAGGTAGCCAGTGGAGCTAGGTCAGCTAGCTTAAGCTCAGCCCCGAAGAACAGGAGTGCACAGTAAGTGTCAAAGGGAGACACAGATGACAGGCACAGCAGCCTCGGGAGAAAGAACCAAGCTTCAGACATCGCACACCACACAGCTGACCCTCCTTGCTCTTGCTGCCTAGAATCAGAGCAGACCGAAGCTAAGAGACCCAGGGAATGTTAACGCCTCACCTCTTCATTTTTCAGTGTAACAAAGTTCTCAAAAATGTTAGAAAAAAATAAATAAATGAATAAAAACTGCAAATGTCTATAACTTTGCTGGGAAAGACTCCACATTATTTGCCAGGCTATACCCTTGCAGGGAGGCCATACTGCTGTTTTGAGCAGACTGCCCACACTGGTCCCTTTCAGAGTCAAAGTTAAGACCACTGTACCCTTTCTGAGTCTCCATGAATGCCCTCCTAATGCTGTTTACCATAACCCAGAGTACAATGTGGCTCTGGGGGTGACGGCCTTCATGAATGTGGGCTTTAGAGAGAAACAGAATACCACACAAAGGAACACAGTTCCTGCAAAAAGACTCGAGTAATGTAAGATCAGCAAGGCCACTGTTTGAGAAGGTAGAAATTCTAAAGTAGCTACATGAACGACACTAATACTGTCACTTCCCCTGTGTGATGATGGCCTACATAACTGAGTTTCTCTCTTTGTTTATTCACAGAGCTGAGGACTGAACCTTGAGTCCCACTCACGCTACACAGGTACTCTACCACTGAGCACACACAACCCCATATATTTTTTATTTTGATTAAGACTTTTTTTTTTTTTTTAAGAAAGTACTGTTTAACAGTCATGGCCCTGCCATTGGTGCAGCATCCTGCAAGGCCCTGATTCTAATTCTAATAAATTACAACAAAGCATTCAGCCTTTCCCACTAAGCCCCTCAAGTTCAGTCTGACTCTTGTCAGGAACCTGCTAGTACACCCCCCAGCAGGACTTACTCCCAGGACATACACAGCATGGAAATAAAAATATCATCTCCTAAGCTCCAAAATTTTGAAACACTATGGAACTTACTTTTATCTGTATAATAAACCCTAATTTTTTATATCTAATTGTGCTAAAATAACAATATATCAAGAAATTTTATTAGTCATCTTACATGGAACATCCACAAGTTCCTCCCACAACTGAAGTTTCTAATTGAATAAAAACTTTGTAAGATACTGTATGATTTGGCTGCCTGTGTTTCTCAATATCTTTCTCTTTGTGAAGCCCAGATGTGAAGGTTTTAAGGATACTGTATGTCTACGACCCATAGGAACTTTTTAACCCACAGGCTTCTGAACTCTCCACATCTGGGCACATACCTTCAAAGGCATACCTGTTCTTGTGTTATTACATCTAGATGGTGGCCTCTTGAATCATGAACTAATCCTCATGGTTTTGTTGTCCCTGAAACTCACCCAAGGCTCACACACATAGCAACTCATATTATTTGTATTTTAGGCTAAGCCCTATTTTGAACTGAATAGTAGGAACCCCAGGGTAGCTTTTATGTAAATGCATCAACTCAAAAAATCAGGTCAGGAGCCACCACAGTTGTCCTTCCAATCAGACTCAAGGTGAGAAGGAAGACTAAAGAGGATAGAATCTTCCAGAACCAAGCACTAATCTAATAGTTTACTTCCTCCAGCAGCCTCCCTCTTCCTGCCCTACAGCACATGCTCACACGTCCCACAGGGTTTATGTTGAGCATGTTATAAGTGAGGCACTGCTTAGCACGGGTTGGAGAGACAGAGGACAGGACCTTGTGACCCTTCAGAGTGTGCATCCTATACAATAATATAGTGCTTTCCGGATACAAAAGGATGGACAGTCTCTCTTGGTCTTGGAATACCAGCTTCCAGTCACACATTTACAGATCACTGGGGCTCAGGAACTCACCGTCGGATGTGTGGAGGAGCTTATGACTTTTCAATGTCCCTTTGGATTTGAATTTCTTGCCACACATGTCACAGAGGTGGGTCTTCTCAGTGCTGTGGCGGTTCATATGAGCCTTGAGGTTGCTCTTGCTGCGAGTTGCATATTCACAAAGAGAACATTTGAAGGGCTTCACACCTATGAGGGAGAAATGTACAGGTGTTTGTGCAGCTGTTTGTGGGGATCCAGATGAATAGTTCACACCATATCAAACATCTATCTGAATAAAGAAGTGCCCTTGGTTACTCCCAACATGTCCCACACTTCTCACGTCTTCCATAATCCTGCTGCTCCCTCCTGCTGAAATGATCTTGCACATCGCAGCGAGTTGGTCACTTCCGCTCTCCCTACAGTCTGGTAACTCCCTGAAGACAGACACTCTGCTCAACTTACAAAGTGGTCACTAAATCAAACTGAACCGAGTTGAACTAAATAAAATTAGAGGCCCCATCAGTCTTTGAAAAAATCAATGTGATCAGGCATCTGGAGTCAAGTGTCAAAGGATATTCCTATTCATAAAATAAACAGAGCCATACTCACACTGAACTATTCCCAAGATGCTGTGTCTACTCCATTTATCTGGCTTTCACCCACCAAGAGCCAGTATCAGAACAGCTGTCATGGTTCATTTCAAATCCATTTCTTGACCACTATGGAACTCTGAACTGCTATATCCTCTGCACACCACATGCCAGGTGTGCAGATAAAGTTCCACAATGTGTGGTCAATGTCTATGACTGTGGCTAGTACCAGGACATAGCTATCTCTATTCTGTCCATTCTTGTTGGTCTTCACATTTTTCTCTTGAATTTTCTCTTGAATATTGTTGTTCTTGTCCCAAGTTTTATTTGTGGACTGAGCTGGGAAAAAGAATACTTACATTGCAATGCAATCCTAAGAATCCCAAATACTTAACGTGGGTAAGTAGGCTTTTTAGACAAATCTTTGATTCCATCATTATAGAAAAATTCATAAACAAGCAAAAAAAGAAAACACCATGACAATCAAACATAAAACAGCACCCTTTAACTTTCTGAACCTTTATCAAAATTCTGAAGATTTTAAAAAGAGCAGATTCTTCCAAATGCTCAATATAGAATATTGTATCTCCTCTGTGAGTGTAAAAGCGTTGGCTGCACATTAAGACTGGACACACACTGAGCCTTCTTCTGAGGAATTTAGGAAATGTGTTTCATAGGTAAGTGAACTGACCGTCAGGAAGATGGAAGGTTTGCCCCGTCCTGCATCTCATGCATGCTGAGGAAGATTGGAGCATGCACTCCAGTCCTTTGTCTACCATATGAGCATTATCATCCCGGAGAAAAGACTTCTGATCCCCAGGATTCTATCACACTGGATTTCCCTCAGTGTCAGGTCCTTGGTTCTGTCTCTAGGCATACCCACATGATTCCCATGAGCACCATTCTGAACCAGTGTCCATGCAGTCGGAGGCTTCTGCCTCCCTGTCTGCTGAGAACACTCACAATGAACTCCTTCACTGCCCTCAGAAAATGACATGTGTATGCATCGCAGCACCACTATTACCTCCTCCATCCCCGCCGCAACACAGGAAGCATCTTTTCCTCCTACATGTGGATGCATCTCCCCATCACTGTCACTTCCTCCATCCCTGCCTCCACACAGGAAGTACCGCATCACTTTCTGCCAGTGCAAGTCAGTGGAGATGTGAAGAACAGAACGTCAGAATCATGCCATGTGGATCCAAATCCTACACCCATTACTTGCTGGCTGTGTGGCATGAATATCTCATAACTTTCTGAGCACCGTGTTCCTCACTGGCTCTCTGGTCCCTGAACACACCGACCAGGGCATCATAGGCAAAGCACTAAGCACACTGCCTGGGACCCACAGCACTCAATAAATGCTGGTGAGCAAGAAAGTACCATGCAGCCCCAGCACTGGGCCTCCGTTCCATGCCTTCTCTCTTAGTTAAACTGGGAGTCTCTCTCTTCCTACCAGCTCCTCCCCTGGAGTCTGCAACTGATAGTATATTATGAGACTATTTTCTCATTCCTCTTCCCTTCACCTGTTAATCTTTGTCCTAGGTGACCAATGGTCCCATGTGGTCCTGCCTATAGCACTCAGGCTCCTGACCACAGGAAGGAACTAATACACAGGATTGGCAGGGCACTCAGGCTACTCACACCTTTCTCATGCCCAAGAAAGCAACATCCTCCTCTAGGGGCAAAGAATAAGGTTGATGACAGGAGACTCTTGACTTGCAACTTGCCATACTCTCAGTAAATGGCTAACACTTCCATATCTGTTCAAGCACCACTGAGCATGGCCCCCAAGCTTCTCTGGGTGACCTCATTTCCACTCAAACCTTCCACCTTCCAATCCTCTCTCTACAAGATAAATAGTGATGCTCTGCACTGCCAAAACTGCAAGATTCCCGCTGCCCTCTTTACTTGCAGTCATTTAAGGTTCTATATTCTTCAGTGCCCGCTACATACAGTGAATGACAGTGGGCACTGGAGCTGCTTAGAGTAACTGGTGGAGTTTCCTGTTCTCAGGACACTGGTTTCCCAGTAAGCAAAGTATTTCACCACGGTTACAACCAGAGCTAGGAAGAGGGGAACATCTCTATACACCATGAATGCAACTACAGTCATGGTTTTACTCTCTGATCTTCTCCACTGGCTGGCCGATACCCTTCTACGTGCTAAAAAAAAATCCTAACTATAGGACATGTGATGACAAACTTCCTCCTGACACAGTCCCAAAATAAAACACACAGCACAAAATTAAATAGAAGTTCCAAACGGAAAGACGACTCACCCTCATGAGCCCAGATGTGCCGCTGAAGGTCTGAGCCATTCTTCATGAAATAGAAATCACAGTATGGACACTTCATGGCTCGCTTTCCAATTAGCCCTTTGAGCTGGACCCTTCTCCCAAGAACCTCAGAGATGGTGTTCATGGAGACCTCTGACAAAAAAAGCAGGGTAACAATCAGAGAGATCAAGGCTTTGATCAAGGCACTTTGTTCTTCAGGTTAGAGCTAAACAAACTTCAATGGCACCTGCACATGTAAGAAATATCCAGGAAGGGCCCCGTTGGTATCACAAAACAGCATGTTTACTGCAAAAGCTAAACTTGAATCTGACCAAGTTGCAGATGAAAGTACCTGTTAGAGGACAATGTGAATAACGGAGAAACACCACAGCGCCATGAGCAGACTAACATGGAGCATGGGCTTTCTACAGGAAAAGTCACTCAGCTTCTCCCAGATGAGAGACTGGGGATTCTACAGAATACAGGGAATGTAAAAGACACAATCACTAAAACACTGCAGCTCAATTCAAACAAACTGTACAGAAAAATCTTAAATCAACTGGTGACATTTTAAGTGGCCACACACAATACCCTAAGGTGCAGTAAGAATCACTGACAGCATTGTTTTTTTTTTTTTAATAGGCCACAGAGGTCAAGCTAAGTAAAACCATTAATTAGAGATAATCCATACGTCTTTCATAGGATAAATGGGATAAACTGTGGAATACTCTAGAAAGAAAAAGTTCATGAGTGGATATATGTAAACAGCTTGGGAAATGTAGAATCATATAGAAGCTGAGGATATATAGGGCTCCTTGTACGATTCTGTATTTATAAACAAAGGTCAGTGCTTTTAAATGCTCTTTTCAGCTCACACGGGACCATTGGTCACCTAGGACACAGATTAACAGCAGAAGAATGGAATGACACAACCCACAGGTTCCCAAGACAAAGGTTCCAAGTTCTGTGTGTTCCCAGACAAAGCATAACTGTCAGAACCCTTTACTTTTAACAGAGAAATCAGTTCTCTTCTATCAAGGGCGGGTACAAATGTTTAAACAAGAAGAGGCAGGGATGAAGAAGGTGAATTTTGCTGCTTTTTACTTATGTAATACAGAGCACCCAGGCCTGCTCTGTCTCCTCTACATAATAAGACAATGGAGTCTGATGTTAAGGTAAGGTCCACCTCAAAGATCCCATGGTAGTAAAAATGACAGTGTCTGCAGTAGAAGAGGTCACCATGCAACCCTATAGGGTGAAGCAAGGCAGATACAAGGCTTCCCTAAGGGAAGACCATTTTAAATACTGACTTCATTCACATCCTCCCTCTTCATTCCTAGCTGGTACAGCCTACATACAGTATTGTGTTTTAAAATAAAAATAAGTATTTAAAAATTAATCTTCATTTCTAAAATCCATAATCTTACCAGGATGATTGGTCTTGATATGTGTCTTTATCAATCGGTCTTCTGAAAAAGATTTTTCACATACAGGACAAGAATAACTCCTTTTGTCCTTAATAGAAAAAGAAAAAGAAAACAATTAACTATCTTAAGTGTAGGTTCTGTAGAAAGACAACTACTACCCTTACCATCATCATCATCATGACTACCAACCAACACACACACACACCATTACCACTACCGTTAAACACCATCACCACTACTACCACCGTCATCACCACCATCAGCAACACTGTTACCTCCACTATCAATGTTGTCACCATTCCCACTAACATCACTATCACATCCATCATCAATACAGGTTGATGACTACAATAGTCATCAGCAAAAGCCTCGTCACAACCAGACATACATTGCATCCTTCTGAAGCAACTACTAGACAGCCATCCAGTTCTACACAGCCTGGGAAGATGCAGACAGAAGAGCTCTAGGAAGGTAAAAAGGGCAGGCAAGAGGCTCTGTCACACATTCCAGGGATACTCAATAATCCAACAGTATACGATGTCCGCAGCACTCAAAACACTGCTTACACTAAGTTGTCCCATGTGATTGAAATCCACATGCAATTGTAAAAAAAAAAGGCATTCATGTTTATATTATACATTAAGAAATGGAGGGCCAGGGAGATGAACACAAAATCAAGTCAGTCGACATTTTAGTGTGTGGGGGGATGAACTCATAAGGCCCTACTCCTATAGAGGAATTATTTGAAGTTGATAGCTTCTAAAGGGAGAGATAATCCTTTCTTTCAGGACGTGGCCTCTGGTAGCCGTGCCCTATTGGAAGAACCCACACACAGGAATATATGACCAGGACAAATTGGAATTGATGGTTATTTAAAAAGAAAGAGAACATGAAGGTGGGAGGAGGCAAATCTGAGAGATTATGGAGTGAATATGATCTATCTATCTTCATACACACACACATATAAAGATAAAGCTTTCTTGGGGTGTCTCAATGTGCTTCAATTACTCTCTTCCCCTCTCCTTGACACTGGGCTCACAGTGCCATTTTCGAGAGATTCTTGAGACTCCTCTGGCATCCTGGTGGCACCCTCCTACCTCTGTCCCAGCCGCCCTTGTCATCAGAGCTGATGGAGGCATTCAGGAGAGCTTTGAAGGAGTTTACACTGATCTCCCCTGAGTCCTTGCTGTTTGATTTTTCTTCTTTTAATCCCTGATAGTCTGAAAGCAATTTATCTTAGAGCTTATCAAGGGCCCCGTTTCTTGATGTCTTTGAAGATTGTCAGGACACAGACAGGACAGTGAGAGGGGGCTGGGAGAAGGGTAGACTCTTAGGATTCATTTACTTCTTTTTAAAAAACTCCCGTGTCTTGCTTCAGATGAAACCCAAGCACCAAACACACTCAGCAAACTTAAAAAGAACTAAGGCTAAAAGAGCCCCTGGCAAAGGCGGGGAACACAAGAAAGCTAGCCATAGGGTGGCTAAGAGACTAGCCTTTGGAGTCTATTTGCGCCAACACAAGTGCCTTCAAAGCCATTTGTGCCCAGAAAGTAGTGGGCATCAGCATGAGACTGCAGTCACTGCAGCCACGGCAGGAGGTACAGAAAGAGCCCTTGTCTGAGGCTAGGAGCCTAGTTTATCACTCAGGTGACCTCATCTGGCCTGTGCCTCACTGGCCAGTATACTGGCTTCCAAAGAAATGGAGTCCTGAGGCCCACACTGGCTGGAGAGCACCAAATTGAATTTCCCCACATACGTGCATCCCCTATAAAACACTGACATCAGGTCCCAAAAGAAAGCTGGCACTCACTCTGAACAACTGCTCAGGAATAGGTCACAGTCACAGCGTCTGTTACGTCCCAGAAGTTGTGCTGGGGACAAAGGCAGCAGATGCTTGAGTTCTTACAAGTTATCTAAAGATATGCCACACAGCAAGCCCACCCATCAACATGGGGGTGGCAGAATCCACCACAAGTACTACTACAGTAACACTTGTATTATGACAGATTCGAATACAGTACCAGAATGTGCAGTATTGAAGGTTGCAGAAAGAGGGCTCTCCTTCTGCTAAAGACAGTTCTGGCTCCCCAAGCCATGAGGAACCTGTTCTCCACACGGGAAGCTCTGGAAGCCTGAAGGCTGCTTCATGGGGGTAAAACACCCAAACGGGGGTAACCCAGAATCAATCGTGTTTTGTGATCACATGTGACCATACTCTTAAAGCCCTTAGGAAGGAGAAACACTTTCCAGTCACCTACATTTTCCTCTTCACATGAATACACACTGATCAGGTATACCCATCTGTTTCTGAAAACATGGAAAGTAGCCTCCTTTACTTTCTCTCTGCTTTTAGGCAACTTATTATTTTAGTTTATCCAAAAAAAAAAAAAAAACATGTTATTCAGCAAGCATCAAACAAAAGAGGTTTGTGTGCTTCTCAAAGGTCAAGGCCAAGTATTCTAAACACTGAACGAGAAGCCAGCAGACACTGGATGAATTCACCACCACTCTCACCGCTAGTATCCTTATCCTCCAGATAAAGTAAAGGGACGAGGAGGAGGGCATGGAGGTAAAGATGCTAGAGCATCTACCACGGTGGCCCTGCATGCCTGAGACCACACTTAGCCCTCACCAACATAACCACAGCATGTTCCCAGGGCAATCCTGGCGGTGGACACTAGTGAGCTCATTTCCAGGATCTGAACCTAGAGAGGTTGAAGGACAAGGCTATGCCCCTTCAAAATCTTAAAACGAACACTCTCAGCCTTGGGCTGCAGCTTGTGTGGGAACCTCTGAGGTCTCCTGAGAGAAATACCAGACAGAAGCAGGGGGGCCCTTCTTTGAGTAATAGATGCCCAGAGCCCACTTCCAGTTAGGATGACAGCGGGAGGCATGGGTCTCATTCCCAACAAATGTTACTGTGACACTGGGGTCACCAATTAAAGCACTTAGGCCATCAGTTTAACTCTTATTGATTAGGAGCCCAGGAATCCAGCCACCTAATCACAGCCCCCAGCAATACTAATACACTCTGGCATCGCAACACTTAATGCTGAAACAAAAAACAGAAAGTAATGCTTGCCCTGTGTGGCGGTGAACACTAAAGGCAGGCTCTGATCTGATCTACTTAATCTCACATTTTAAGGAGCCAGGCATGACTCACTGAAATGTTTGCACAATCCTCTAATGAGTCACGATCTATGGATGCTGCCATTCACTGACCTAATTTAATCCCCATAACCCTGAGGGATGAGGGAAGCACTTTATCTCCAATGTACAAGTAAGCTAACTGAGGCTCAAAGAGCCTAAGCAATTTGCCCAGAATCACAAAGACTGACTTGGGACTGCAAATGAGCATACCAGAACCCAAAGCTCCCTTACATTTGACTAAAATCATGTTTTCCCTTCATGAAGTTTTAATAATTTTAAAGTTGCTTTTGATAGTGTTTTCTTACAGCAACAGGAAGGGAACCAAGGCATACATCGCTTTACACAAAGATTCTGAGCATCCTCAGAATGCCCGATGAAGGAAGTTCTTGTCCCCATTTCCCATGGAGGGACGATTGCATTCCTTCACCACACGTCTATGCCATGGACTTAGTAATGAGAAGGAAGAGGCGGTGGAAAGAAAGCACACTGGCCACCACTCTTTGATGTAGTTATTTGCCAGATTATCTCCGCATCCTAATACAACCAGACTGTGTCAGGATCTGCAGGCTCATTCGGAGGTGGAGGATGATACTTTAACGTTTGCTCTGCACTAGAACCTGCATTCAAAGCAGGGGTGCTGAAACAAAAGTGAAACCTCAGCCAACATATCCATAACCTCATCAAGTGCACAGGGAAGGAAGCCAAGCCCCAGGACAGATAAGGACTCACTGTGGTTCCCATGGTTTCCTAGTGAGAACAGTTATCACCCCTGTCCCAGCCAGAAGCTGATGTGATCGAGCTAGACAATAGTAACATGACAAGATGCTTTTACACCACAAGCAAGTTTGCACAATCTCCCTGGAACTCGGCAGCAGCTAGAGAAAGTAGCCCACTGTACTCTCTGAAAGACATGAAGTCAGAAAGAGGCAGAGTGCTGGGCTCCACATCCCCAGTGGTACCTCTTCTTGGCTGTGTTGATGGGAGTATGCTAACAACAGTGAAAACAAGTGGCTGAGAGGATGACTCACCAAACATACACAGGAGGTTTGGCGATGGGGGATATAGGCAGCTTCTCCTTAGATGGTTTAAAATTTTGATAACTTTTCAAAGGAAAGATGAACATTTAAACTCTAAAAGCTAACAAGCTTTACTGAAGTGATTTCACCAAGAATTAGCTCAAATCCTACAAATAAAAAAAAAAAACAGCAAGACAGCATAGCTGAGCTACATCCTGATGCAATCACCACTAAAAATGCACTTCAAACGCTCATCAGTTCAAGGAGAGTGAGCCAAACTTCAAACAAGGGAGTACTGCCCAACTCTAAAGAGGAGCCAAGCATGAAGCCTGCTACCAGATAGATGGGGGGGGGGGAGATACTAGCACAAAAAGTTTTATTTATAGCACACACATTTTATGTTCCTTTTATATAAAATGTTCGGGAGAGGCAAAACTATGGACAAACAAAATGTTCGGGGACAGGGAAGCAAGTGACGACAGCAAACAGGAGTGCCTCCCTATGGGATAACAGAAATTTTCTAAAGTTGCCAGCAGCTGCATAAGTCAGTGTGTATACTAAATTCCACTGCACTTCACATTTTAAAAGAACAAATTATACCCTATGCACATGACGAAAAAAAAAAAGAGAGCTTAAAAAACAACCACCTTCCTTGCAGATGGGGAATATTTTAAAGCTAACACCTTCATTATCAGATCAACAGCGTCTACATAAAGAGAAGGCAACTTGTCCCTGTGTGGTGTCTTCAGCTGCATGACAGAAATAAGTTAGAAGAAACTCAAATGACAAATGTCATCGAGATTCAAAAGCTGGGAGTTTTCACAGAAGTGCCCTTCACTGCAATGGCAACACAGTCCTTCACTTCAGGAACAAGTGTTCAGCGGATCAACTTCCTGGCACGAACTCAAAGCCTTCCCAGAAGCTTTTGCCCAAGGTTCGGCTGACCACTCCCTCCTCATCCTCTTTCTTGGCCCAAATATCTTCAACCTCAGAATCAGGGTGTCTGGGGAGGAAGGCAGTTTGTTGACCTGCTAGCCTTTTCCTCCCACTGTTAATCTATTCGTTCCACACAAAGCGGAATACACCTTGCAGGTAAAAGCCGTCTTACTTATGAGTACTGATGAGAAGCAGGGCAGTACCCCTCATGAGGTTAACTGAGCCACATTCCCTGTATCAGAATATTGTACTTCTTTAGCAGCAATGTGCAGATATTAACTCATGCAGCTTGAGCAAATGGCTGCCACTTACCAACACAGGAATATCTACCACATAGTCTCTGCCTACCTGGGCCAAAGTTCACTCCTGCCACATCCCTTCAGAAGATGTACAAGTGTCCAGGAATCACCAAGAAAAGCATATCTAAGACTAATGACCTGCCACCACCAAATGAAAAGCATGGGACAGTGATAAAGCCATGGAATGAATTCTGCCATCCTTCATTCATGGCATAACCATAGACCAAGTTATTGTATGAAAGAGACAGAGACACCAACCAGACTCTGTGCAGTAGAGGAAATGATTCCTAGTTCCCGGAGCTGACATGGGAATTAAGTAAAAACCCAAGAAGGAGCTACAAGATCAAACCAGCATCTTTCTGTCCCAAGATGGACCTCCCTGGAGGTGCTCTAAAGGAATTCCCAACCATTTTCATGACCACGAAAGCAGAAAAGTGAAATGCCAGTGTTGTATGCACATTCCCTCAGGAAGAGTGATTAAATGTTTACCCACTCCTTACAGAGCTCCAATGGCAAACCAAAGTGTGCTTCTATAAAAGGCTAACCTGGGAAACCAATGAGTTTGAGCTTATTTGCGGAACACAGATAAGAAGTTACTTACTGGAGTCTGGGTGGCCCCAAAGGAGCCACACAATGAAAAGTCTCACCTGGAACTAATGACAACTAGTTAAGTAGATGGAGTTCCAAGCATCCAGTTAACAATCCCACAAACTCCACACTCTAGTATCCCCAGAGGTCCCAAAGTCACATGCAATTAGGGTAGAATTATACACAGCAACTTCTCGGGTAAAGAAAGAGTGAGTGAGATCAGGTAAGAGTCCAACGACCCTCTCCATGCCCCTCTTTCTATGAGAGAGCATCAACAGTCAACAGCACTGATCTTCGAGGTCCACCGAGGTTAGCACTGCTGCTCTGAGGAAAGTCTTGACTGTTATGCTCAGAGGTCGGCATCTAGAATAGCCTTTTATAAGTAAGAAGTGAAGTACACAGTCAATACCAAAGACATATTCCTGATGCTCCCCAATCACCCCAACACTCAGGGACTGAGAATCAGCATTTGAGGAAGAAGATAGCCAGGCTAGACCAACATCCCCACGACATTCACAAGTAACAGACAAGTTCTGAATGTGGAACGAGAGGCAGCCTAGGCTGCGCAGTCCATGTTTCTGTGAGCACTGCTTTAGTTCCTGTCACCCGTTTCAACTGGATTTGAAAGCTCAGTCCAGAGCAGCCAGCTTCAAAAGAGTAAGATCAATGACATTAACATCAGTCCACGCCAGGCACTGCTCTGGACACTTACATGTATGCCTTCACCTCACCTTCACCTGCATCAGTAAACTAAGGCATGGAGTAGCTCCGTTACTCGTGTCAAACACAAGGTAAACAGGAGAGCAAGGGTTCAATCCAGGCTTCTGTTTTCCTAGTCTCCAGCACTACACTCTAAAGCTACTCCTCACAAGAGCCTGTTCTAGCACTGGACTCCCTCCCTCAGCCTCTGTGTCACCCTGACAATAACGACAGAAACCATGTGTCCAGAACCCTAATGGAGATAAACGAAGGGAAGGAGGGAGTGAGGGAGGAAGGAAAGGAGGGAGGGAATGAGGGAGGGAGGAAGAAAGGAAAGGAAAGGAAGGAGGGAGGGAAGGAGAGACAAGATGGGGAAGAAGGGAAGAGCAAGATCAAGAACCAAAGCAAGCCTGTGACATGAGTCAGAGAGAATGAGGAGAGAACAAGAAGTATGACAGGAAGCCAGTATACAGTAGGAAGTGCAGCTAGCACTCACAAACTGACGCGCAACTATTTATCAGCACGGTCTTGGACCATTCTATTTTAACATTGTAGTAACAACAGAATATACAAAATATGCACAGATGTGTGTGCATGTGCAGGTATGTCTAAGTACACACATGTGCAGACATGCTTCTATGTACCACTGTACATGAGTGTGTGTATGAGTGTGTACATAATGGACTTTGGTGGTCTGAATGAGATTAATCCCCATAGGCTCATAGATTTGACACTATTTGAAAGGATTAGGAGATATGGCCTTGTGGAGGAAGTGTGTCACAGGGGGTGGACTATGAGGTTTTAAAAGTCCATGCCAAGACCAGAATCTCTCTCTCTGCTTACAGATCAGAATGTAGTTCTGAGCTGCTGCTCCAGGGTCTGCCTGTATACCCTCATGCTCCCTGCCATGATGATATAGTGGACTAAGCCACTGAAACTGTAATCAACCCCTCAATTAAATGCTTTCTCTTCTAAGAGTTGTCTTGGTGCTGGTGTTCTTCATAGCAACAGAAGAGTGACCAAGACAGACTTTTTAAGAGTATATTTTATATAAAGTGAATTTTCTGAGGCCACAGAGCCTGTGGGAGTATGGGAAATGGTGTTGGAGTCTATGCCAACATACTCTGATTTCACACCTCTGAAAAAGCCCTGAGTGCACCTTAATGACCAACCACCTGTTAAGAGCAAATCATCCAATCTCTGAAGTCTCCTTTTGTGCTGTCTTTAGCATAAATAGGGCCACACGGGCCTCAGGTGTGGCTTCTTGTTTATGTTAAGAAGTCTTAAACCATTCTCAGGGAGTGTCAGTCTCTTCCCATCAGACTAGACCTTGCAGAAACAAGCACTCGCTCATTGCATCATTGTGTGATCAACCATCACAGAACCAGACATGCCCACCGTGCACATTAATGGTACCTTGGATTAATATGTCACTTCTCAAGTCAAAATGGTTCCTAGAGGCTGTTGATGTTGACAATAAATGCACCACTAATGTGGCAACAGTGTCCATTAACATTCACTACACTCACACTGCCTTACCAAACACTGCTCTTGGTACAATTACCTAATCCTATCCAATCATCCAACTTAATTCCCCAACAACACTTAGAGGCAGCTATTATCATTCCTGTTATTAATAATTCTTTAAAATGCCATTTATGAAACCTTTGCTTCATTTCCATTCTGCAGATCTTCTGTAAACTTTCTCAAATGCTAAAAAATTTGCAGAGGACGCAATTTGTTCAGTGTGATCAGAGACTCACTATGAAAGGAGCTGGACGGAGAGGGTGAAAGCTCTGTGAGGCATCGGGAGGCAGGAGAAGGACCCCTCTGTGTCCGGAGGGAGCAGGATGTTCACACGCCTGTGGCAGTGACACTTCTATATGCATCAATGTGAGAGAGCACTGGGCACCCAGGGGGAGGTGGGGGCTGCCGCTTTGGCTTGCTACTTACCAGCTCTGTGTGAACTTTAAGATGGGCCTGTAGCTTATATTTATCTGGAGTCGAGTAGTCACAGCCGTCAGTGGGACACTTCAGCAAGATGTTACTGTGTTTCTGAATTACATGGCGTTTAAGGCAGTTTTTGGTGATGGAAGAATAGTGACACTGGGAGCAATAATACAGATGTTCCCGGGTGTGGGTGCGGACATGCATGTCAAAATGCACTTGGTACCAAAAAAGTTTGCCTAAAAAAATATTTTCACATGAGAACAAGGAAGTTTCTTTTATACTGAGTTTGAATTTTTTTTAAAAAAAATTATCATCATTTTTTTAACTTCCATATTTATCGCCTTTATCTGGTATGCCCTTCACACTTTCCACCATACTTCTGTCAGGAAATTACTTTTCAAAAAGGGCAGTTTTTAAAGTATTAAGGTACCACCATCTTTCACATGGTGGTAAGGCTAGGAAAAGAGAAAGGAAATGTTTATTGAGAGCGAATTATGTCAAACATCACCCTGCAAATGCACAAATCCAAGAGCCTCCAAGTCCTCCTGATGTTCTGGGCTATGAGACAGGCTCTAGGCTACCCACTTCCTGTACTGCCTGCTGTCTGGGAGCTTCCAGAGGCAAGCTTTCACCACCAGCTAGAAGGGAGCTGCTTGGGTCTCCCTACAGGGCTGCAGCCAGCCTCCTACCCTCTCTACCCAGTTGACAGAGTCACAACTGAAAACCAGAAGAGTGACTCTTCTTGGTCAGAAGATGGTAGAAGTTGTGAGCAGCCCTCTGCATGACCCCCAACACGGTCAGCTCTGCATCCTCCCAGCTGACTCTGGCAAGGCTCCAGATATGACGCAAGGCATGGGCTCACTATTCCTATCTATCAGGGAGGAGGGTGGCTCATTTAGGAGGTGTTCTTGGCAAACAGACATGAGCGCAAATGGAACCCAAGGTGATGACAGCAGGATAGCAATGGACGGGGCTGCTGGGAAGGAAAGCTCCGCTCAGAGGCACATCTGACCAGCACAGCCTGTCCTTACCACAGTATTCGCACTCCAGGTCTCCATAAACCTTCCGGATTCTCTCGCATAGACTGGTGTTCATCTGCTTCTTCTGGAGACTGTCTAAGACCTTCATGAATGCTGTGCTGCCGGGATGATGCTCAGTGGAAGGTTTGCAAGAGTCAGGCTGGCACATTCCAAGGTCCCCTCCATCAGCCACCGTAGGGAGGAGGTCTGAGGACTCCACTGGGTTTGACCTGAGACACTTGTTAGAGTCAGGTTCACTGACTGGCAGAGTGACCGCATTCTGCCCTCCACCTGGAGGGCTCTGCTCGCTCTGGGCCTCTGGGTCTGGTTCAGCACTTTTGGCCTTGGTCAGCAGCAGTATGACATCTTCACCCTGAGTGGGGGCTGAGCCTCCATGCTGTGTGTCCAAGGTTGTCTCGGCAGCAGCAGGAGCCTCAGCAGAGGAGGTATCGTTTTTCAGTAAGAAATCATCTGAAACCATTCCTAGAGGGTTGAGGTCAGAGGGGACCTCAGTGGTTCCTACTTTGCAGGGGGAAAGGGAAGCACTTTCAGTCTTGGGGGTGTCCAAGGGCACAGCTGGGGCAGTTGCTTCTCCAGGGGCCTCCAGTTCCCTGGGCCCTACCTCAGGCTGAGCTTCCCCAGGACAAGCCTCGTCCTTGTGCACATCGACTTCTGGGCACACAAATTCTTCAGCTGCAAGCTGTAGCTGATCCCCCAAGGCTTCTTGCTGGATGTCCCCACCAGGCTCCAGGAGGCAGAAGCTCTGGTTGATGGAGCTGGTGAAGACCAAAGTCTCCTGGGCTGTCCCATGCACCTCTCGGATGTGGGAGCGCAGCCTGATGGAGCTGACAAACTTCTTGAGACATATAGCACAGACATAAACAAAGGGGTGCTTTCTGACGTGCAGTTCCAAGGCCTGGTACTTAGTGGCCCCGTGGCCACAGAGCTCACAAGCAAAGGGCCACTTGTCGCCATGGACCAACATGTGGCGGTCCCGGTCTAGCTCGTTCTTGAACTTGCGCTCACAGATGTGGCAGTCATAGAGCAGCTGCCGCTTGCCCTCCCTCGTCATCAGGCGGAGCTCATCCAAGGCCTCCTTGACCTTCTTGTCCTGAGGGTCATGCATGTCCCGGATGTGCTTGATGAGGTTCTTGACATCCGAGTACTTTTTCTTGCAAAAGCGGCAGTGCTGTTTGATCTTCTTGTGCACCCGCTCAATATGCACCTTGAGGTGGCCCTTGCTGAGGCAGGTGAAGGAGCAGTAGTCACAGGAGAACTTCTCTCCGGTGTGCTTGCGCAGGTGCACGTTGAGGTTGGCCTTGATGGCGCTGGCATAGCTGCACTGGGAGCACTTGTATGGCTTCTCGTTCGTGTGGATCCTCAGATGGGCCTGCAGTGAGTGCTTGAACTTGAAGACCTTGTTGCAGTATTCACAGGTGAAGATCTTCAGCTGAGTGGGACCTAACCTAGAGATGGACGATAGCACCATTAACTTCTGGAGACCTTGAACTGTTACAGTGAACCACCTACCAAAGGCTGTGCAGTCAGCTACAGGGGAGTGGGAAAAGGTGGAACAGCTATTTATTCAACAAATAAGACTTGGAGGAAAAGCAGGATAGACACAGACAATGATGAAAGAAGGTGCTGGTCTTTGGGGAGCACAAGCCCTAGCGGGAGAGAAGGAAGCCCCGCAATGTCCCACAACAACATGGTACTCATTGAAAGGAGTGTGTGAAGAGCAGAAAAAAGACACCTCTAACTGAACAAAGGCTGCTGGGGAACACCTGCCATGGTAACAGCTGGGTCAAAGCTTAACGAAAAGGAACACAGTGACAAGAGAAGGAAACAGGGGTGTGATTCACACAAGAAGATCACTAGGCATGCGCCAAGACTGTGTTCATTCTGGGCTACCTGAACAGAAGCAAGCTCAATTTCCACGAGATTAGACCTGGTGAGCTTATTCAGAAAGTTTGATAATTCACACTTGCCTACTCATCCCATTTACTTCAGGGTGGCTCTATTCCTCTTTGCCAGCTTGCATGCGCGGAAGGGCGCACCTGAGAGAAAGACTAAACCGTGGTCTTTATCCATGTTTCCACTTCTCCCCAGAAATGGCGAGCACAGATTGGTCATGAGTTTGGAAGAAGACCTCTAGTTAGCTAGATGGCAGGGGTGTGCCTGCCTGTGGTGAGCAATAGCTAGAGAGGCTTCTTCGAGCCCAGGCGGTGGTGATCGAGGTCTCAGGTAGGAGGGGGTGGCTTCTGGGCAAGCTCACAGCTGATATGAACTACAGTCCTCTCTCCTAAAGCTGTCGTCCACAGCAGATGACTGACGAACTACCATCTATCCTCTTCCACCGTCACTGGGTAAGAGCTCAGATGGGGAAAATAGCACTGTCTTTATTAACTTCACACACCATTAAATAAACAATTTCTACTGATGAAACCAAGCAGCATGTCAAGGGCATGTGTTGGTTTTTGCCGGTATAGTGGGGAATAAAATCACACCCTGCCTCTTGGAGCCCAGTGTGGCTAGGAATACCCTGAATGAAAGAGCAGCGGTTCTGACTAATAATTAGTGAGTACTTACAAAAAATAGTGTACTGACCATTTAATCTCCACTCTCATCAACCCATTTTACACCTAAGAAAACTAAGCATCAGGGCTGGAAAGATGGCTCAGATTAAGAGCACTGGCTGCTCTTCCAGGGGTCCTGAGTTCAACAACCACATGGTGACTCACAAGCATCTATAATGAGGTCTGGTGCTGTCTTCTGGCGTTCAGACATACATAATAAATAAATCTTAGAAAGAAACAAAGGAGGGGAGGGGAAGGAGGAGGGGAGAGGAGAGGAAGGAGGAGGGGAGGGGATGAGAGGAACTAAGCATGTGCCCAACATAAACAATTGTTTAATGACTTGCATGCCCATGGCCTCTGGAGCATGCTCGCCCTTCCTCAACCTCTTTGTTTCATAAAACCTCTGATGCACAGCAGCCCCTCCGCAGTTTGACTGAGCACTTGGAGAAAGCTCTTTGAGAGCAGCTTCCACTGGTACCAGAACGGCAGGCACTGAAGTACATGACCACGCACCAGCAACAAGAACAGTGAGGGAAAGCAAGGAAGCAAGAGAGAATGCACCTCTGGAAGGTCTATCTAGGCTAGTCAAGAAGGATTTATGGCGCACTAATATCCATGCAGTGCTATTAATGAGTAGCATTAACCTGTGCCTACCGCAGATATAAGGTCTGTATTGATGCGGCAGTTCATACAACTGTCTCCTTAAATTTAAAACACTTAAGTGGCCTACAGTCCATAAATACTAGAGAGTACAACTCACATGATGAAATTAAAATATTCAAATTTGAGAGCTACTAGTACGCCTGCATGCTAAGCCCACGGCTTCTTTAAGGAAAGCGATTTGGATCTTTCCCAAATGACAAAGACATCCAGAAGCTGATACATTTTATACAGAACACTGAAGAAAGCAGCCCTGGATTCATAACATTAATTAAATAAGCAAGTCTCAGCATTTCCTCATCTATTGAGAGACCTAAATAGTCTTAAGAGAATCTTTTGTTCTTTGTTTTTGTATTATTATTAGACAAATATCTAGCAGATCTCTGAGTGGTCTGCTTTTGGAGAAGACACTAAACCTGGGCGCGATGCTGAACAGGCTCCATTTGACTTCAAGCATGAGCCATAAATGGTGATTGTGGACTAGCGCACTGAGCTGTGATGGGCAGAGAACGCTTTCGGAATTGTCTACTGCAAGTGTTTCCTATTTGGAGAGGAAAGTACTGCTGAAGAATTTTCAAAGCTCAGACCCCCTACTGCAGTGATTCTACCTCTGGGAATCTACCTGAAGGAAACAAGGGGACAGTCGATTGAAGGAATGAACTCCTTCAATGCCCATTTCCTCACAACAGTTAAGGACAGCAATATCCTTGAAGGCTCTCTTATAGACAAATACTTAGTGTTTAGATCCTGCTTACATGTTCGTCCATTGGCATCAACAGGGCCATATTCAGCTAATGCACATCTAGTAAGCAACAAACACCCCAAGCCCTGGGAGAAGGGGCAGTTTTGGATGCCCATTAAAAGTTCTAAGTACTCATTCCTTGATGTAACAATTTCACTTGGAGTAATGTATATCTCAGGCAGTCTTGAGAAGCATGGGAAGGAGGCTGTCCCAGAGTATAAATCAATGCACTATCGTCACAGAAAAACGTGGGGAGTTGACCTGCCCATGGTAGCGCATGCCTGTAATCCTCACACACAGGAGGCTGAGACAAAAAACAATGGGGTTAAGACTAGCCTGGACTACATAAGTGGTGTCTTTTTATAAGGTGTTTAAATTACAATAGAAACATTTAAGAAGAGAAATATTTTTAAGAGGTACTAAAACTGGAATATTTTCAAGGTGTAGTAAATTTTTAAATGTGATAAATAATAGTGCATTTAGTATTTTGTATGACAACAAAACAAAACATATATACACACATATACATACACACATATATATTAGTATATCATGAAAAACTAACAAGTATATGCAGTGAACGAGTGAGAGAAATGAAATCTAGAAAGAACTATGGGTTCCAGGCTCTCACCATGAAGGTTGCTTTGGTTTTTACTGTGTGCCTATGACTACCACAGTATGTACAAAACAGGCCCAGTTTGCATCTCTTTTTACAGTTTAATGACACATTTGAATAGATAACATGCTGTGCCCTGTGAAGACAAGAGACCGTTCAGTCCCTAGGGTACACTGTTCTGCCTTGGTCTTGGAGGAAGCACTCCACTAGGGTATAATCAAGAGGTAGATTCTTTAGCTAAGCTAATGAGTTAAGACCCTTTACTGATAAGGTCATGAACAAAATCCAGACCAGCAAATGTACAACTCTTTCCTGCTCTTTGTGAATGTTACTTACAACCTATCTCTGGTTAAGGCCCCCTGGGACAACTCACCTGCTTGACTTCATGGGCTGTTCATACGGGGTCTGCTGAATGGCATATTCTTGGTACCCTCTCCGTGGCACCAGGTCTGCTGCTGTGGTCTCGGGAGGGGCTGCTCCTGTTTCAGGGGGCCCAGCCTCCACTGGAATAATCTTGGTAGCACCTGAGATTGATACACAGTGCACTGCTTACTGAGAGGTCCTAGCAACAGCACCGACCCTGCCCAGCAGAGTCAGTAGGTCCTGGGGGCATTTACTGGAGGACTTCCCTGCAAGGCACTGGTTTTCTTATTCAAATAACACATTTAGAGAGAAAAAGAGTGTGTGTGTATAGGTGAAGATACAGTTTTTCTAGTAATGTGCCTAAATGTCTTCCTGAAGTAGTTTTACTTGATCTAATTATGAACAGGCAAATACACATATGTCACTTGCAAGAATTTCTCCAAAGCCACAGCTGCTAAATTTGAAGCAAATATGAAGTCACATCAAGGCAGCATCAGGTGGCAAAGCAGCCAACAAAGAGGGAACGTGAGCACCCCAAATGCCTCTGATTCTCTTCCCAGGAGCAGAAATTTAAAGTTCAAAGAGAAGAAACCCCAGGATCACCTTTACTTTTTACTCAATGACATAAACTGACCCAAGACCATTCAGAGCAGGTGGACTTTGTGGGTATGTGTGTGTGGGGGGGTGAATGTGTATGTGCATGAGTGTAGGTGTATGACCATGTAGGTGTGAGTATGTGTGTGGGTGTGAGCATGTGTTTACATATGCATCTATATGTGAGAAAGTGATTGTGTGTCAGTGTGTATGTGTGTTTGCGCATGAGTCTGTGTGAGTGGGTATAAGTGTGTGAGAGTGCATGCATGTGTGAGGATGTGTAAGTGTGAGAATGAGGGGAGCATGTGGAAGTGTGTATTAGTGTGTGTGCATGTGTGTGAGTATGAGTATGAATAGACGAGTTTGAATGTGAATGCACAGATGTGTGAGTCGGAGCTGTGAGCGTGTAAGTGGAGTCAGGGTTGAGAGCAAGTGTGTGAAAGACTCTTCCCTACCACTTGTTTCTAAAACACCAAAGGGAATTGATTATGATTTTACCCTCTTGGAATCCCAAAATACTACCATAAATTTTTAAGAAAAATTGTGGAAATTTTCTCTAGCAACCACTGAGAACAGGAAACTGTCCTCTGGGATTTTCCTTATCCACAATAATATTTCTCTGAAGCAGAGTAGGGCAGATGGAGTGATTTTCCAGAAAGTTCAAGTAGCCTAATTTTATACAACATTTTCTCTCCTGAACACCTTACTTCTGTAGTCAAGTATAAAAGGGAAAATGTATTCAGGGTTTCGAATTTGAGTGGCTACTATTAGCACTAAAAATAGTAGCATAAAGGGAGCAGCTGTTCTGAAAACCATGACAATGTCCTCATTGTATCTGAGCTAATACCCCCCAATGCATGAAATATTTAAAACATTATGATAGCCTGGAATCTATCACAAACTGTTGGTGCTGGCTAGTTTTTATGTCAACGTTTATGATAGTTTGAAATCTATCAAACTGTTTCTGCAAGCTAGTTTTTATGTCAACTTTTATGATAGTTTGAAATCTATCACAAACTGTTTGTGCTGGCTAGTTTTTACATCAATTTGACACAAGCTGGGAACATCTGGGAAGAAGGAACCTCAATGGCCTGTAAGCACGCTTTGGAGAACTTTCTTGACCAGTGATTGATGTGGGATAGCCCAATTCACTGTGAACAGTGCCAACACTGGGCAGGTTCAGGTAAGAAAGCAGACTGAGCTGGATATAGTGGTGTATGCCCTTAATTCCACCAATCAAGAGGCAGAGGCAGGTGAATCTCTGAGTTTGAGGATAGCCTGGTCCTCAGAGTGAGTTCCAGGACAACCAAGGCTACATACAGAAACACACTGTCTCAAAAAAAAAAAAAAAACAGGAAAAAGGAAAGAAGGAAAACAGGCCAAGCAAGCCATGAGTGAGCAAAGCCAGTAAGCAGAACTGCTCCATGGTCACAGCTTGGGTTCCTGCCTCCAGGTTCCTGCCTGGAGTGACTTCCCTCTGTAAGGGAGTGCCACCTGAGAGGGGCAAGCTAAAATAACCCTTTCTTTCCCAAGTGCTCTTGTCCATGTGATTTTATCACAGAAAAAGAAACCCCAAGGCACGGTATTTGTCTAAAATAGTCTTTCCTACAAGTGACCTTTAAAAAAGAAAATAAAGCATATCTGCCATGTTCATGGAAAAAGAGTAATAAATAGAAATGTCTGGTACTGAAAAATATTTGGTGAATACCATCAAAATGTGAAGGAGCTGGGCAGTGTCTGCATGGTCTGCAGAACCACTCTTTCCCCTGTGTGCACTGAGTAGGGAGCTCCCAGCAAGGAGGCAGTCACTGTAGTATGACAGGGACGCCACCAGCTGAGGGGCCAGGGAGAGGCACAGAGGGACTGTTCCTGCATACCTGAGTGACAACAGAGTTGGCTGAGGAGACAGGCATGACAGCCCCAGGGGATAATAAGGTCTGTGGTCACTCCATAAGCATAGGTGACGAAAGGAAGTTCCACTGGGACACCTAACACACAGGCATTGCCCAGTCCTCCTTCCTCAGGCTTCCTCCATGCCCTCCTTCCCCAAGGACAGCTGTGTTACAGGCTCTCACTGTATCATTTCCAGCCTATCAGCAATCACCTGGAATGGCTTCATGAGCAGTTAAGACCACGCTGATGATGGGTTTCTTGGCTCCAGAAAGCTGCCCTGCCTCCTTTCCTGAGATCTTCTGGACTTTCTCTGTTTTCTGAGCCCGAGGTCTTTTTGGAGCCTTTTCTCGATCATCTTCTTTGTACTTCTTTTCTAGCTCAGTGTCTGACTCGTTACCTAGGGAGCAAATATCAAGATGTATAAGCTACCCCTTCATGCCAGTTGAGGAGAAAATATGACTCTCACCAGAGGTGATGGCAAAGGCATGCCTCCCCCTGCATCCTCATATCCACCTCCATTCCCTCTCTCTCTCTTCCTGGCCCACGATGCCAGGCAGGACACTGAGCTAGCTCATGGACCACTGCTGGCACTCAAAGCAAAGCTGTTCACGGTATCCAGGTCACAGCCAAGTATCAGGAATGCACTGCTAGACAAAGCAGTTAGACCCTGGGCTCATTTTCATGAAGCATCACTAGTATCAGCACTGCAGATAAAATGACCTGCGATTCACAGTCCAAGAAAGTTCTTCTCTTAATCAACGTACACTTCCCAGGCAATCCCCTGCGCCAGGCATGGTGGACACTGGACAGGAACACACCAAGCCCTCAAAGGCCTCCCGTCCAGAACAGACAGAGACAACAGGTGTGCTCCAAAGCAGTCTCTGCTCTGATTTGCATGAAAGAAGAGGATGGCAGAATCTCCTGAGAGGTCGGAAAGGCGTTATGGAGATGTTAGCTATGGCTGAATGAAGACATGAGGGTCAATGAAACATTGTATGGGAAATAGAGCACCAGTCAGGAGGAAGGAGCTACGTGGTCTAGGAAGGGGGTGATTAAAAATGGCCGTGCTCCAGTATAACAAAGGATGACAAAGACAAGAGTTGAATACTTGGCTGAGCATCACAGTGTCCCCAACTTCATGAGAAAGAAGAAAGTGACCAAAACAGGTGTCAAGAGGAAGAAGTAAGTCCTAGAAGTCCATGACACTGTGGAAATTTCCAGTCTCCTCAGGTGAGGACATGGAGTCCAGTCAGCCTTCATTAGATAAAATGTAGACTGTGTCTGGCCTGGCCCTGCTGGGAACTCCTGGGAGGTGGGGTGATTGTCACATCTTCTGAAGACACAAAGAAAGATAGTAGGTCCAGGTTTTTACAGGACCTATTGTTTTTCAAAGCTGATTGCTATCTGGCCTTCCTTAAGACAATAGGGAAGCCAAGCAAAACATTTAGGGCATCATGGGACCTATTGGATCCCATATGCATCTCTGGAAGGCAATGTGAGCCACTGAAGCCATCTAATCCAAAGAATAGCTGAGCTGGCTTAAAGCTTTACTTGTATGCTATGCTGGGGAAAATGAAATGAACTGGCTCACAAACCATCCAAATGCATGCAAAACAAATACATCAGTCACAGACATACAACAGCAGCCATGACAGCTCCATCCTTGGCATTAGCCTAAGGAGTAAGAAGAGCCTCCACATATCAGTGAAGAACAAAGGAGCAAACACCTGGACAGCAGCCCCAGGTGAGATGAAACAGGGAAGGAGAGGAGGAAGAGGTTTATTAGAATCACCATGTCTGAAATGACCCACCCAAGGACAGGGTCTTCAGGCTTTCTGGAGAGAACACTGGGAGTGATTCCACACACCCCTGAATAAGACATGAGAGTCGCGGATAGACAAGGGATGCAGCACAGTTGAGCAGACAGGCAGGTGTGAAGGTGGGCTTTGGAAAGTGTAGAGATTAAGGGGTTATCAGACAGGTGACACTGAAACCAAGAAGCAATGAGGCAGAGGCAGTGCACACAGGGAGGCAGGCAGACCCCAGCCTTCAGCGCTTCCTACCTCTCAAGTCAGCTACAGTCAGTCCAAGACAATGCACCAGTAAATGTACAACAGATAACCTAAAGATCGAATTCTTAGCAAGCCATGCGGGCTGAGGTGAAGCAAGGAGACAGAATGATCGGACCAAGCATTCACATTGTGTCCCAGAAGCCAACACAGTGCTTGCCAGGTTCCTGGATCATTTCCAGACCTGAAGGAAACAGTCTCGGGTTAGTCTTTAACAGACTGGTATTAGTATTAAACATATTAACATCAAACGAGAGAGAAAGATGATAGGTGGCATCATGGATCAGAATGATATCCAAGGTACCGAGTCAAGCACAGTGGGCACAGCACCTAGTCTCCAAGGATGCTGGCGGAGCCTACATGTTATAAAGACTGCTATGTATCATGCAACCCAGCAACTTTTGCCTTGTTTTATTTTCTAGTGGCTATAACAAAAACATTTTCCAAGACCTACAAACTGTCTGAGTCACAGAAGTCTTTTTGTTACCTAGATATTGGTGATACGTGCACATAAATACTACAGCAGGATATTTCGGATGCCATAAAAAGGTAGAACAATATTTAATGGATTTTTTAGCTTGTAAAATGATGTCTTACTCTATAACAGAGTTCACCATGGGATACAATTCAAAACGTGGGTGATGTGCCAAGAATAGATATGTTGACATAAAAAAGGGACCTGAGAATTACCATAAGCTTAACCTGGTTAACAACATAAAACCACAATAAGAAAACAAGGGCACACACTGTCAGCCAGGGTAAGAGATGAGGAGGTCCCACATGCTGCAGGAGACTAATGGGAGCAAACTGCTGTAGGCACCGGGTGAACACACTGCAGAAAGGAGTGCAAGCAGCTGGTGGCTGGCAGGGGGTAAAGGTTTGGAATCCACATCAGATTAAGAAAGAATAATGGGACCTGAGTTGGCCTAGGTAGAGAAGATATGATGAAACCACTTCTCACCTTAACTACTGCAGCCACTGGGGCTGCCTTCTGGCTGCGCTGTGGTTAAGCTGTTGGTGTGCATACAGTTATCTTCCCCATCATTAGGCAAAAGACCCGGCAGAAGCAGCTTATGTGGGGAGGAGTCAGCTTTGGCTAACAGTTCAGAGGGAACACTCCATCACAGCAGAAAAGGAATGCTGACAGGGTAGTTCTGGTACAGGGAAATGGGAGTGTGAGCTGGCTGGCCATGTGGCTGTGGCAGTCAGAAAGCAGAGAGTTTTGATCAAGAGCTGTAACCATCAAAGGTCACCACCTTTGCCAGTCATGCCTCCACTCCAAGGGTCCCACACCCTCAATTCCACCCTCTGTGGGAATGAGGAATACCACCATCCTTTCAGGAGCTGAGAATACACTTCAGCACCCCAAGAGTCTGAGTGCTAAGGCTATAGGACCTGGGCCATCAGGGGGCTGAGAGAAGACTGTCAAGAGTCCTTCCTTATTAAGCAAAATATTGCCCATAGACCTTCCCAGGCCGCTCTGTGGAACTGAAGCAAGCACTAGCCACGGAGAAGCCACGTAGAAGCTCATTTCAATCCACCTACGCTCAGAAAGGAAGAGACAGGTCACACGGCAGTGGCACTGTGTCAGCCTGGACTACTGACCCCAGACAGCTTGTTCTAGGGAGAGTTCTGTTCACATTTAAACTGGTTTTTAACGGGTGCTGTAAGATCTTTACACCCCCCTCCGCCCTAGCTCCTGAGTGAACCATTCTACAGTCCAAACTTAACCACGTTATTCTCTGACTTAAACCCTTTAATGCCTTCCTTCTGTCTCCATTAGGAGAAAATATGACCATCTACATGAATTACCATAAACCATCTGTCACACTAGCCACTGAGGCCAAGGCCTTGACTCCCAAGCAATACCCTCACATGCATATCTTCTCCCCCCATGGCTCCCAACAACATGGGCCACAGACTGACCAACCAACCATGTTGTGTTTAGTCCCTGGACCACTTAATCATCTTCCATTAATCATTACTACAGTCTGAGGGTGGCTGCTCCCCCAAAGACTCATGTGCTGAAGTCTTGGTCCTTGGTGCTGAGAAGTAGCAGGGTGGAATGCCGAGGGATCAAGGGATCAGAGGGAAAAGGGGGCTGCCAAAGAGGAGAATGAAATAATGACACTTGCAGAAAAATGAAAGAAGCTGGAGGACAGTATGATAAGTGAGATGAGCCAGACTCAGAAAGATAATAGCACATATGTTCTCTCCTATGTATGTGAGTATGTGCATATAGACATGTTTATATGTGTGTGCATGTATACCTGTATATATATGGAGATGGGTGGATGGGTGGATGGATGGACTGGTTGATTGAGGGAGAAAGGGAGAGAGAGGGAGACAGACAGATCATAGATAGATAGATAGATAGATAGATAGATAGATAGATAGATAGATAGACAGACAGACAGACTGACTGACTGAATGAAAATAGAACGCACCATGGGGGAGGAAAGAGGTTTAAAGAAAGAGCAGAGAAGAACATAAGAGAATAATGGAAAAGAGAAAGATAGAGACAATATATTGCATGTTTTCTCCCATCTCTCTTCTATGTGGAATAAACATATATATGACATGAAAGTGAAAGGAAGATTATTTGAGGAAAGAAAGGGGACTAGTAAGAGAAAGGGAGATAAATATGACCAAGGTACAGTGTGTGTGTGTGTGTGTGTGTGTGTGTGTGTGTGTGTGTGAAAATGCCATAATGAAATTCACAAGCTTATATGCTGACCCACAAAACTAACTGGAAGAAAATCTAAAGGGCAGAGCAAGCGTGAATTATACACCCTTCAGTGCTCTTGGCTGGTCACCACTTTCTAGCAGACCCTGCAGCACAGCTACCAGTCCCTCACCACATACAAATAGCGACACCCAACTTAAGCAGCCGGTGAGGCAGAGCCGCACACAGTCACTCTGCACCGCTGTCACAGGCTGCTAATGCTGGGGTCACGCGTCAGCATCCTGAGAATCCAACTCTTACAAGTACAGTTGAGTCCAAGGCTAACCTCAGCTTGTTGATTTGGGGACTCTTTCCCTAGGCAGATATAAACAAACATCTGCCTCACCTTACAAGGACGTTATCAACAGCAAACAAAAGCAGAATTCTACCAAAGTCCTACTTGAAGAACCAATTCGTTTGTGAGGGATCACAGAGAGGGCAAAGAAGCTGCTTACAGGAGTGTGAACATCACCAACCAGAGCAGCCTTACCACTGAAAACCCTCACTCACTCCTGCAGAGACGAGGACTGTACAGACGGAGTTCCCCTTCGGCTCACCTTTCACACGCTGCAGACTCTAGCACATCTGACACCATGTGCAATT